CTTTTATTGAACTTCCCTTTTGAATAAAAAGAAAACCTGGAGAATAAACCCTGTTTTCCATTACAGCCTCTAGAGGGCAAAATAATCTCACTTCCTGGGACTGGTGTAAAATAGTTTTAAGAGTAGGGGGAAGCCTGGCATTGGTGGCACACGCCTTTAATCCCAGCACTCGGGAGGCAGAGGCAGGGCGAGACCAGCCTGGTCTACAAGAGCTAGTTCCAGGACAGCTTCCAAAGCTGCAGAGAAACCCTGTGTCGAAAAAACAAACAAACAAACAAAAAAAGAATAGGGGAACACTTGCCAGTAACAATACAGACATTTCTATAGCTGTGAAATTCCAACTTCAGACTACAGAGCAAGCAGAGGATTTGTTAGAATGTAGCTTAGAACATACTTTTCTAGAGATCCTGGTTTGATAATGCTGGGGAAACTTAGTGTTGACATCCAGACAATCCCATATGAATGTCTTTGATTTAACTTAGTTGCACACTGATCATAAGAATAAAATCATAAGAATGCTTGTCTTGAATTTAGGAGGCCCTGGGTTCAATAGCGAACACCACACATACACGGGGGGGGGGAGAGAACAACAGAGAGCATGTATTTTTGCCCAATTATATTTTCTCTTGACATTTCAAGAAAAAAATGATATTTTTTAGAACACAAGAATGTAGAAATAACAGATTAATGTAATGTAACTGGAGCAAATAGAGTTCTGTCTTTAATTGAATGTGCTTGAAGACTTGCTTTATTCCTATTTAGTATGAAAAATAAAATGTTTTCAATTTAGAGTTATTTCAATAAATAAAAATATCATAAAATCTTTGGATTATAAGGATTTGAAAACTTTTAATACCTTTTCTAGTAAAGAGAGAATCCTTAGAGGTCCTGCAAATTTGCAGTCAATAGAGATTAACCACCTAGGAAACCTATTCAGAGTTGAGATCTGCAACAGATAATAAAATGATGATTGGCACTTTGTAATTGTCGAGCACACAGGACTTTTGTTAACCTTATTGCTAAGAATTGCTATGGATCACATAAAAACAAAAAATAGAATCCTTACAAACTAGTTGGGCTGGCAGCCAGCTAGAGCTTCCAAATTCTTACTAGTTACAGTATGCCAAGAGTGGACACCCCTCCCCGGAGTACTTAGGACAGTCACATGTAACCCAGGATGAAGAGAAGAATCCCTTCTGTCTGTTCCCCTGGTGCTATGAAAATACGTTTTCTTTCTGCCTTTATGTAACAAAATCAGGAAGACTGTTCTTGAATTCTTCCTAGTTTCTGTTCATAGTTTGTTTAGTTGATTGATACCCTTCAAATATCACAGGTTCCTCTCTGGGCTAGTGACTACAAAAGGAGCCCTTGTGGCTCTTTTTATTGTCTTCTTTGAGAGGACTGCAGTGAATTGTGTAGCTCCTTTTAGAGTTCTATCCCAGCTTGACTTAAAAATAACTCTGAAAACAGTTAGACCATCGTGTATTTAGTAATACAGTTGGGTCTCTGCCGATTCCCAAGATAAGTGTGTTTCAACAGAAGCTTTCTCATTCATCATCAGCCTCAGCTCTCATCCACATTTATTTAATGATGATGCAAGCCCACAGCCTTGGTGTTGCAGTCCATCACCATGGAAGTGTTTCTGTCAACAAATCCTTGCTTTCCAAAATAAAATTGATTTTACAGGGGAAAGGAAGATACCTTTTACTTTTGAAAGATCTCCACAGTGTGCTTGGATGTCTAGCTGAATTGCATTTAAAATCAGTAACTAGCAATAAAATTGAGTATACTAAATTAACAGTTAAGAGTATGGAAAGGAAATGGAAAAGGGAAAATGGTGATTAGTTGCTTTGAAGTCATCCTTTTAAAATGTGACTTGGAAACTAGATTTGTAATTTAAAATGTTCCTTTAAAGGCTGTATTCTCCACTCAAGAGATGTAGAGTATGCTAGGAGTTAGGTGCCATAATGTCTAGTGTCAAGGTTATGCAAGGGGACAACAGGCAGCATTGGAACTCATGGAACACGGCTGGGCAGTTGGCAAAGCCCCAAGGACTAGGTGTCCTGAGGCCCTCATGCTGTCATTGAGCATGGCTCTGATTGCTGTCTTCATGGTCACCACATCCCTCATAATCTATGGGTTGTATAAAAACTCTCAGGGGGCAGTGTTAGTGGTACTTGTTTTGTTTGTTTGTTTGCTTTCTGCGAGAGGGTTTCTCAGTAGCTTTGGAGCCTATCCTGGAACTAGCTCTTGTAGACCAGGTTGGTCTCAAACTCACAGAAATCTGCCTGCCTCTTGTCTCCTGAGTACTGGGATCAAAGGTATGCGTCACCACTGCATATTTCAAGTGTTACTGGTACTTGAAATAATAGTGATTGACTTTTTGCAAGCATTGATTGCTGCTGGAGCAGATTAATGATTCAACCACCACTCTTAGAAAGAATTTAGACATATATAATTGTTAGTAAGGTTAGGTTAAGATGGTTTTGTTAATGACTTTGAGGTAGAAAATCTTGGGGAAGAGTTTAAAGTTAAGAAAGGCACATAGTTGAGTGAGGGACTCATTGAGGTCCAAAAACAAGTGACAGCCTAGCTATTGCTGGCTGAGGTACCTTTCTTGCTAGAATGGATTGGTAATCAAAGGTGATGATTACTTCCTGTACCCATTTCTGCCTTCAGCTTCCTGATAGTAAAAACTGTTGATGAGTAGGTTTGCACTCAGTATTTAAAGTAGAGCTGACAAGTTTGTCATTTGTAAAAGTTTAGATTTGTGATTCTTTTAAGATTTTATGATTGCATTTTGATCAATAGATAAAGTGAATGATCCTTTCTTAGTAACTACAAAATGCAGTCTGCCAGCAAAAGAACTGGCTGAGAAACATACCTTGCTTGCTTACACTATGTTAATCTATAACAGGTTGCTTGGGTGTGATGAATGTATGTGGGTTCTTGGGACAACTCATTTTTTCACCTGTAATATGTAAAATGTTTAATCATGTAAGGGGTATGGAAACCATGCTTTTTTTACTTGTATTCACTGACTTAAAAAACAGAATGTAATTTTTATACTTCTTGAGAGATTTTGCTGGGGTATATAAGCTGTAAAGAAAATAGTATAGTTAGTTAGAAGGAAGACATCAAGAGAGACAGAAAGGAAACATTAGGTTAGAAGAACAGAACAGAAAAAGAATGTCTCGAAAAACAAAAAAGTAGAACAATAGAATGAATAATAAAATGAACTAAGCTTTGGCCCTCAGAAAATTCTGTTTGTCCAGTAGTTCACCTGCTCTGCATCTCAGATTCTCTGACCTGCTGAAGGCTAGGTGAGATCCTGACTTGAGTGCCTGTGTGTGTGGGGGGGTTGGGGGGAGCATATTTCTGTGTGTGTGTGCGCCCGTTTCTCTTTTTTTGCCAGCCCCAGAGACTTAAGTTTTGCCCCATTCGCTGGCCCCAGACAATTAAGTTTAACCCTTCAGATTGAAAAGTCAAGTTGTATGATTAGTTCAGCAGCTCCGTGGATCCCCCTCAATCCACAAGATGCTGAAGTTTGGTCCTCACAGCAGGAATAGTTCAGGAAGCTTTGGCTGAGGTTTTTTTTTTTTTTTAATACTGGGAATGACATAGCACCCACAGAAGAAATCACATTATTACTTGGCTTCTGCTGCCTTGCAGCATGATTATTTAAAAAAAAAGTCTTAAAACTTGTACTCCTAACTACCTGCAGCTTTTATTTGCTTCTTGGGAGGCCATTCAGAAATTTGAATTGTATGCTTCTGATTGTAGCTTTTACTCACAAGCAGGGTAGGGCAGCACCCACATTAAGTAATCCAGATGTTTGTGGGAGCCAAATAACACAGGACAAGAATGACTTATGGTTTTTTTTTTTTTTGCTTTTTTTTGTTTTTGTTTTTGTTTTGTTTTGTTTTGTTTTTTCGAGACAGCGTTTCTCTGTATTGTTTTGGAGGCTGTCCTGGAACTCACTCTGTAGACCAGGCTGTCCTCGAACTCACAGAGATCCGCCTGCCTCCGCCTCCCGAGTGCTGGGATTAAAGGCGTGCGCCACCAACGCCCGGCTGACACTTTTGTTTTGAAGCAGAATGTTCAGAAGTTTATGTCATAGTGGCTGATTCCCAGATTTAGATGTAAGGTATTCTTTATGAGAATATCAGTCTGTCGGAGAAATGTAGTTAATCCTTGATAGTCAAGAAAACCTTGTATTTCCAAATGTGCATTCTGCCTTCCTGTCACATTCTCAAGAGTTTACCTTTTACCATCAGCTTATGTATGTACTCACTAATAGCAAACTATTTAATATTAATTTATCCTGTTATCTGTAAACGTTTACTGACTTCCTATTAGCCCTCTGTTGAGCACCAGGAATATTAAGATACATATCAAGAATGGCATTAAGCTTGCCATAATTATTTTGGTTCATTTTGAAATTGTAGAGATGAAACTTTTATTTATTTTAACCCTCTCGCCTCCTCTAATATGTGACCAGAACTATAAATGACAAATATGTACTGCTTGTTCTTTAGGAAGAATTAATGAGCATCATAAACAGGAAATAAAATGATATTGTTCATGCAAATATATAATGCCAAATGATAAAATGAAAATCAGCAAGCAGTGGCAAAAGTAATAAACTATTTACTGTCTTATCATGTTAAGTAATTCACCAAGACAAGTCGCAGTCAAATTAAAGTGAGTTATGGAAAATGAAATACATAAACATGTATTTATACAAGTGCAGACTACATAGTTTCCATACAGGTATGTAAATGTAAAGATATACAGTAAGTGCACACTCGATGACTATGCAGGCAACACATAGTTAGTTCAGATACTCTTGTATAGTCCATGCACAAATCTTCCCAAAGTACACGTTTAGTCACTCTTAGGGATTTGGAGGGATGATTTAAAAAAGGACTGAGTTCCTTGCAAGAGTATCAGTATGAACTGGATGAGGGTGAGGATGGTCAGTTATATATATTACTTACTGTAATTTGTGATTGTCGAGGAAGAGGTGTGGTGGTTGGTGTAATAGTAATACTGCTGGTGACTTTACTGGTTGTTTTGTTTAGTGCCCCATTAGTTAAGCCTTGAGTTCTGTTATCCTGCAGTGGTGCTGAAGGGCTGGCAGGTCTCACGGGGCTGGCGACAGCTTGCATGTAAGGACTTCCTAAGTGAATGTGGATTTTATTATCCTCAGTAGTTATCACACTTGAACCGTTACTGTTTGAACGTTGAAACTGCCATGATGACTGCCTGTCTGGGGAGACTCTGAAAATTGCGTGCTTGGCACTGATTTCTATCGGCTCTGGGGAGCGACCCTGCTCAGGAGAACTAGCTGAACCAGCCATTGCCAAAACCTGAATGGGTGACATTGTCCGTTCTGGAGTTACAGAACCACAGGACTCTGGGGTCTGTGCTCTGGCAAAGGTTGCCATGGTAACTGGGGGCACGCTTTGCTCTAAGTTCACAAGGCTTTCTGTAGAGGTTTTGGACTTCACTGGTGTTATGGAGGCATTTTGGAGAATGGTAATCCTTTGCTTTGGGGTACCACAGTTTGGTATCACCGCTGTGCTGGTATATGAGTGAGGACTCTCTGTGGTTGGGCTTGTGATTTCAAGAGTAGCTGTATTTTGGGCATGGTCTGGAGTAACCTTTATGTGAAGGGGCTGCCCAGGTGTGTGACTTAGGACTAGATCTCCAGGTTGCACAAAGTTGCCATTGGACTTAGTTTGTATTTTTCCATTCTGAGGGTGGCCCTCCTTCGATTTCATCCAAGGAATCCATAGTTTCCTGTTCACAGGAAGTGAAGTAGATGGATTACATTTGAAGGACAGCACAGATTCCTCATTAGGGTCCTCATCTTGGTCCTCACTCTCCTCATACAGTTGACCATTGATGACTGCTCGTTCCAGAGGAATGAGGCTCTTATAGTCTGGTGGCTCATTGTCTACTACTTCTGTTTGAACTTCTTTAGAAAATACTTGAGGGTCAGAGATTCTTCTTCCATTGAGACTAGGTCGGAGACTCTTACTAAAATGCCTATACCTCTCTAGCTCTTTAGTAAGGTTTTCAATCTCTCTTCCTAAATCTCTGTTTCTGTTTTCTTGTTGGTTTAGTTTCTTTTGCAGAATTGAGTGATCTCCCTGGAGGTGGCATATTAGGTCCTCTGTTGCCATGTACTCATGAATTTTCTCTTTCAATGCATCCACTTCTCTTGACAGGTGACCTGACTTTGCTTCTTCCTCTTGAAGTCTCTTGAAAAGCCATTGCTCATGGCTGGACTCTGTCTTTTCTGCTAACTTGTACTTGGCAAGTTCCATTTTAACACGTTCCAGCTCTTCAGACAGAAACTGAGCCTTGTCTCTCTCATTAGCATACCTCCGTTCTAAGGTCTCGTACTCATCCTCTGTTTTCATGAGGTCATCCTCAATGGCTTTCATATCCTTTAGCTTCAGCTTCAGCTTTTCCACTTCTTGAGAGAGCTCTTTAATCTTATTGTTTTCTTGGTGCAGTGCTGATGTGGACTTACTGGAGTCTTGATTTAGTTTGTTTTTTACAAAATCTTTCTCAGTTGCTTCCAGTGATTGAAGTCTGTTTTTCAGTATATTCATTTTTGACAATAGGTCATGTCCTTTCTCCTCTTCTGCTTTGAGTTTGTTTCTGAGATCATCTCTCTCCTTAGTTACAGTGTACATCTTCTCTTCTGCATCAGTTTTGGACTTGAGAGCCCTTTTAGTTTCCTCAATTAACTTCTCAGTCACTGTTGTTACTTTATTTTGCTCTGCCTGGAGCTGAGAGGCAGTGGTTTGTAACTTATCTTCAGTTTGCTTTAATTTTTCACTCATTGTTTTGCGTTCATCTACAAGCATTACAGTTAATGTTTTCAGTTTTGTTAAATCATCCTTTAGGGTGAATTCTGTCTTTTCTAGCCGACTCTCAATGGCTTCTAGCTCTTTGATCCTGGTGTTTAAACTCTCCAGTTCTTCAGCCAACTGCTTTGTGGTCATCTTTTCTTTTTCTAAATTGCATTTCAGAGAGTAGCACTCTTGTTTGCTTTTGTCTAAAGCGTCTTCTAGTTTTTCCAGATCCGTAATCCTTTTACTGAGTTTCTCAACCTCTAGTTTGAAGTCTTTACTCTGTGCTGTCTCTTTCTCAAGCCTTTTATTGAGATCCCTGCACTGTTCCTCCATTTTTATGAGCTCTTCATCTTTCCCCTCCATATCCAGCACACGCTTCCTGAGCTCATCCACTTCAGCCATGATGCCAGTGTTTCCACATTCTCCCTTGTTGATTTTTTCCTTAATATCTTGCAGCTCCTCTTCGGCTTTTCTTAAAGACCTGTTGGTCTCCTCTAACTCATCAATTTGCCGGCTAAGTGCTGCCAGCTTTTGTCGGAGTTGGCGATTTTGACTGTCCTCATTGGTGAGCTTCGCCATAATTGTGTCTTGGTTCTGGTGGAACGCTGTGGTCTGTGCCTGCAGTTCTCTTTCTAGTCTGGTTGCCTTCTGCTCTTCTTGCTGAGCTCTGGCTTCAACAAGGGCTAGTTTACCATGTGTTTCCTTTGCACTTGTGGTCAGATCTTGGATTGTCTGTCTTTGAAGGGCAAGCTGAGCTGTAAGCCTTTGTTGTTCATCCACCACCATCAAAGCAAAAGACTTCAGCTTGGTCAGCTCCTCTTTCAGGGCCTTGATCCTCTTCTCTTTTTCTTGTTCCTTCCTCTCCTGGGACTTAGTTTCTTGATCAATTAGCTTCTTTAATCTGAAAAATACAAGAGTAGATTGCAGTTAGTGCTTTAGTAATTTATCAGCTGCTATTAAAATAATTGTATCAGTTCATAGATAACATCCAGAGAAGTTTCTGAATCGATGAGGAAGGAGAATCTTTATTTTAAAATATTGATACCTTGTCCTCCCCCTTTAAAATCTGGCTAGCATTGATTAGTAACAACAGTTGAAGTTCACTGTGAGCCTTAAAAGGAAACAGGCAAGAGTATTTAGTTTAAATTGTTTGGACTATCAGTGAATAGTTATAGACTTGAGATTTCAGTTAGATGTGGCTTTAAAACTACACCTGCCCATACCAGCTAATTAACCTGCATAGTTCTCCATTTCCTCATATTATCTTAGGGGCTTTTTGTGAAAGTGAGGCAGTTCATCCAACATTATCGCAGCCCTGGCATTTGGTAAACATTTGATAAATGTTGCCATGGTGCTTTTTAAATTACTAATTCTTGTCCTGTATTAAGTGACTTGCTTGAGCCATTGTGTATGTGATATATTACTAGTTACTGTTTAACTCCTTGGTTATTAGTTAACATATCATTTTATTCAGTTTGTCTAGAAGTTATACACAACACAGATTGATCTCTGTGTATTCAGACTTTGGTTTACACTAATAAGATAGCATCCAGGGAACCACTTCACCTGTGTCTTTATCTGCTTACTCACTGTTATTTAAAAGGGGGAACTAGAGGCAACTGAGTTAGGGTTGGAACGCTCATAACATATGGAAGAGCAGGGAGCTTGACAGCAAAGAGCTTACTGATAGAAATCCAGAACTAGGAATGGAAAAAATCTCTTAGCAGGAACATATTGAATCCCTCTTAAATGACTCTATTTTAACACACTATTTTTTCTTTATTTAAAATTATCCTTCATAACAGGAGGGCATTTTTTCATACAGAATAAATGGTCTTTTCCATGCACTTGGTTACCTCTGTAAAGAAGATACAGTTTTAAACTTGTGAGTCTCTTAATTATACTGGGAATGGGCTAATTATACAGGATGTAATTGCTGCTCTGCATTGTTGTGCAGAAGCTAAGATGCAGTCCCTGAAAAGTACTTAACTTGGTTGGAAACGTAAATATGTGCTTTCTAATCAAGTCTGTAAAGTTGGTAATATGTTAATAAACCTGTTATCCATCCATCCATCCATCTCTCATGCACATCTCCCTGCGCACCCTAGTCTGGCTTCTAACTTGTCCTCTTGAGGCTGGCCTTGAACATGTGTCCTCTTTTGCCTCATTTAGGATTATAGTACTCCACCATGGATGGCATAATAAATCATATCAATTTGCTAGTTAATTAACCAATCTGTTCTTTTTTAAAATTAATAATCTGAGAGAACATTTTTTAAAATTTAAATTAGAAACAAGTTTGCTTCACATGTCAATTCCAGGTCCCTCTCCCTTTCCCTCCCCTCCTGCCACGCCCTACCACCAACCTCTCCAATATCCTCTCATTTCCCCAGGGAGGATGAGGCCCGCCATGGGGGTTTCCATAGTCTGTCATTTTATCCAGGGCAGGGCCTAGACCCTCCCCCCCAGAGTCCAGGGTGAGAGTGCATCTCTCATTGTGGGATGGGCACCCAAAGTCCCTTTGTATGCCAGGGATAAATACTGATCTACTACCCAAGGCCCAATAGATTACCTAGGCCTCCTCACTGACACCCACGTTCAGGAAGAACATTTTTTTAAAGGAAACAAACTTGGGGCAGTCTGGGGGATAAAGGCTTCTTTATAAGATCCTAATCTGTTCTTTTTTAATTATATTACACAAGAGGCGGGGTGGAAAGGTAGTGTAAGAATTCAACTTTTGAATGGCAGATCTCCTTTTAGTTTGTTCTGTTTGGGGGACCTGACAAAAGATTGACTGGGCAGGGTGCTGGGGCGGGGGCGGGGTGGGGCTGTGGTGACCTCATCTGTAGTCTTGGCAAGAGGCTTCATGACTTTTGCCTTTTGTCACTCCCTGCTTCAGACACCTGGGAGCCTGAGAAGAGAAACATGGCAGCTTCTTTCTGGTGGTGTAGAGTTTTGCAATTCTAGGCAGGAATCCGGGAGAAACTGCTGTAGCGGAGAAACAGCTGCAGAAGAGCTTCGTCCTCAGACCTCTGCTCTAAATTCACACTTGAAGGTGCTAAGAAGGTATTGCTGAAGCTTGCTGTCTTCCTTATTGGAGAACAACTTCACAAAAACTCCCAAGGCTTTCTTCTCAGCTTTTTAAATAAGAGCACATGCTGTCCCCTTTTCCTGAGAAGGGAACATGCTTTCTTGGAATATAAGAAAGGGAAGATTTTTCTTAAGTGAAATAGGAAAGACTTAAAATGGAATAACTGAATCCTGTAAGTATAGTAACAAGCAAAACAATATTGAAAAACTTTTGAGTTGTCTTTATTGTGTTCAATGTTTTTGGCAGCAAGCTTAGTGCATCTTTTGGAGCATGATACAAGTGTCATGCACCTTTTTCCTGGTATTTATAAACTGGCTGACATTGATATCTCCCTAAGCTTCAGCTCCAAGCTAAACATACAAAACTGATGATTGCATTATTTATGCTCCAACCTGAAACACATAGACACCTAGTGATATAGTACCCTCTCTGCTGATTTAGGCTTTTTTTTTTAACCCCATTTAATAAGCATTTGAATCACCTGGGAATCTTGTTAAAGGGCAGATTCTAGTTCTGTGGGTCTAGGGTCAACCTCACAATTTTCATTATGACAAGCTCCCAGATGACTGGTCTCCTGGCCTTGGGCTTCATTATGTAATGTCAGAGTTCTAGCTGAGGGAGACTTGAGTCAGGAAGGTCCAGGAGATCCAGAACCTATGCTGTCTCCCCTAATCGAACTGCCTGTTGAGACCAGGATATAGACCACATCTTGGGACTGATCCAGACACAGTGTCTATCACTGAAACTCTCTGAATTGGAAACTGTGGAGCTAAAGGAAAGATGGCACTTGTGATTGTTTGGGAATATTTACATAAGCTATGCATACATACATGCATGTATATATACATACATACACACACTGATTTTAACCTACAGTGATTTTAATCTATTTGTTCTTTTAGCACCTATATTATTTTATTAAAAAATTGAAGTTTTAAACAGTTATAGAAGTTACCTCTGCCATTCAATGTAAAAGTTGCCATTTACAAACTAGACAGTCTAATCATCCTTTGGGGGAGATAGTCTGAATTCTAAGATATGACTGTGTAGGAATTTGTCCTAAGGTGTCGCCAGTGTCACCAGATGAGGATAAACACGACTCTCTATCCAGTGCTGTTTCTTAATCTGCTGCTGCCCCTGTGCTGTCTTAGCAAGTTCTAGATGAGTTCCAAGGCTAAGAAAACTCCCTTGGTTAGAGTTTGCCAAACAAGAAGGCTGTTTTGAAAGGGTTGTTGGAAAAGAGGGCTCACTGGACACAGCACTTTCCGGGGAGATGAGATTCAGAGAGTGTATATAGGAAGTGCGAATGTAGGCATTAATTCCCTTTAAGCTCCCCAGGCAGCTCTGCAAGTTTGTGTATCCTTGGGGGTATATGTACCTCCATTTAAAGACTACTGTCTTGGAGTACTCATGTTCATGCTCAAATACTGACATTACAGGATTACAGGAACATTCACTGAATCCTATCCAATAAAAACAGGTTGTGGAAGCTGATTTTTATGGACACAAATGTGAGGTAATTAAATCCAAACTGGCTTAAAGCAGTGTCTTATTACAGCTTTTCTTTAGAGTTTCTTTTATGGCTCAAAATTGTTTTAACTTACTGTGGTTTATCACTATTATTATGTGCAATGCCAGTTACTTGCTTTTTCAAAAATATCACATCTGTCATCTTGAGTGTTTTTTTGGTACCAACCATAATGCTGGCCTTTCAATATAAATTACACATTCAGAGGGTCCTTTCAGTTTTTATTTATACACATATATGTCAACATGCATCAGCCTATATTTTATCTCCTCAGTGTGACATGGTTAATAATATGCAGCATATAATGCACATACAAAACAGATGGTGCCCATCTAGATGCTGTATAGCCAATCATACCCATAGAATTTATATTACAGTTCTCATTATTTATGTACATCATAATCAACTCCACTAAAATATTATCTTCTTAAGACTCAAAAAAGTGTTTTCTACAGTGGTTACCGAAAAGCCCTCTGGAAGGAACCAAATAAGTGTTGTTGTTTTTTTTTAAAGAATGAGTGAATGAATAAATAAAACAATGGACAAATATGCCACCCTATTGAGCGTGCCTCAGATTGCCCTAGGCAGTTTTGCTCATTTTTAAAGATGATTTTTCTCGGGCTTAACATGTATGTGGTTTTAAGTATTTAAGAAAATGTGGCGTGAGTCTTCCCCTCTGTGTTTTCTAAATACAAATACATTATTGTCTGTTTCGTAATTATGGAGCATCAAAAAAAAAAAAACAAAACAAAAAAATAAAACAAAACCTACTCTAACTATTCCTTTCTTCTTTACATTCTTCAATACAACTCTGGTTACTTGGTTATGAGAGGTTTAAATGGTCACATGCTAGTTCCTCACTCTCCTTTGATTATTTCAACGCTGCAAAGAAGCAGTTCTTTTACTTTCCCTCTCAGCTGAGAGCTCTGATGCATTCTACTTGAGTATTGTTTTCCTGTTGGCCCACACAGATCAGATTAGAGTAAGTGTCAAGCAATAGTAAAAAGTCCGTGCTCACTAGTGGCACTGTGTTACATCTATTCCTACAGGGACCAAACTGAAAGAAGTGAACAACTTTAGTCACTTTGGTTCTTTTCGCCCAGCCTTTTAAAGAGACAAATACTCCACTGCTTTTGTAACGTGGATCTTGAGTTTAGCAGTTGATGTTTAAATATGGCAATACTCAATTTACAAGAAAGTCTTCTAGACTAGGGCTATTATGAGGTAAAGGGGGGGAAAAGAAATCTGTTATTCAAGAGTATTCAAGAGTTCATGGAAAGGCTAATGAGACAGCTTAGCCCATAAAAGAACTTAGTGCTAAGCTCGAGTACTTGGCTTTGATCTCTGGGTCCCACAGAGTGGAAGGAGAGAACCAATTCCCTAAAGTTGTCCTCTGATCTCAATATGTGCACATTCGCTCTTCCCCATCTAGGTTAGTTAATGCAATAAAGAAAAACAAGTTTTTAGACTGAACAGATAACTCTAACACTATTTAACAAAAACCCCAGAACAACAGTTTCAGTTTTTAGATCTGTTCTTTTAAAGCTTATTGAGGATCCCAAACTTTTGATTGTTTGGATTTTATCTGAATTTACTGTATTATTAAAATTAAGGCCTCCATGTGGTGGAACAGACCTGTAACCCCTAGTACTTGGAAAGTGGAGGCAGAGGCATCAGGAGTTTAAACTTTTCCTTGGATACATAACATAAAGAGCATTTTTAGTGGAAAAATAACCTAGAAACAAACAAAAAAATTATGAGCTGCATTGTACTATACAAGCTGTACTGAGGACACTGGATCCTCAGATCTATTTTACACATTCCATTAGCTATAGTAGCCAAGGCATCATCACAGGTCATGTAGGAGCTGGAAAACATGTGCATTTTTGAGAGAGTGGTAAAAGGGGTGTTTATGACTCTTGGGGTGACCTTGCTGATCTCTTGAAGAGGCTGAGCTTTGAAGTCGTTGCTGTAGAGAATATGCAGGAGAAATGTAATGGCAAATGACTTCCTCCAGAAAAGCTTAAGATTTGTGATACCACTCTGTTCTTCATGCTGTTGCTTAGCAGCCCTTGTTTCATCATGATAGAATCCCTAGTCTGCTCTGATGATTTCATCATTAATATATCCATTTGTTTGCTGCCCATCATAAGAGATAGGTTTTCTGCCTTCAATTTGTTCTTCTCAGTTCTTTGAACTATCTATCTATATACTGTTAATGTTTTCCTTGAAACGATTCTTTGAAATGAGAGAATCTCAACCAATGATTTTGTAGTTGGCTAGCTTGGTAGTTTTGTTTTTTTGAAGAGGTTCTTGCCCTGAAGCCCAGGCTGGCTTTGAAGTCAGCCTCCTGAGTGCTGGGAGTGCCACTAAATGGACCAAGTTGCTTGTTGTTTAATATGGGTTCAACAACTACAGCTCAGCTGACATTTAATTCATTTCAGAGCTTTATAAGGTACGTACAGCAAGCCCCTAGTGTGTGCAAGACACTGTTTATGGTTTTTTTGTTTGTTTTTTTTTTTTCTTAAAAACCAGCATACTTACCCAGCCCAATCTGGTTATAATTTGTGTAGTACCTTATCAATGACCAAACAGATTGATCAGAACAGATCCATTTAGTCTTAGGGAAATAATATAATGTGTGTGTTCTTATTACTCTAGAGGCTAGTTTATAGTTTAATACTTTGCTGATTTGGCATGATGATCTGTAAGCAGAATACTGCATATATTACATTGCTATATTTTTGTTTGTTTTTGTTTTTTGAGACCAAATTTCTCTGTGTAGCCTTGTCTACTCATTCCGTAGACCAGGCTGGCCTCAAACCAACAGAGATCTGCCTGTCTCTCTGCCTCCTAAGTGCTGGCATTAAAGAAATGCACCACCACCGACCTTCCTTTATTCATTTTTTATGTGCTCTCCTGGTTATAGACTTTGATACTTAGGTTGCATTACATCCCATTTTATCTTTTAGTTTAATATGTCATTTTAATTATTACATTGCATTGATAACAAGTTCTAGCAATTTGAAGAGTGATGCATGGAATTTGTTGGAAAGCTTTGCTTCCTCCTTTTAGGACAGTACTATAATTTATGTTTCTTGCTGTGCTCTTTGCCACTTCAATGGGACTTTTCACTGTTTACTCAGAGTTTTAGGAGCAACCTTATTGTATGTATGCTGCTTCCTTTTATTTATCTTACAAGTCAAAGGATTTTTCTTTTTCTCTTTTAATTAGTTACAGCATACCATAGCCATAGTGTAATGCTCAATTCATTTGACTTAGTCAGCAAGATCTAGAAGAACAGTCAGACTTTTTGTTTTCATCTGCTAGCCAAGTATGAGTGTATATCTGTGTCTGCTTTATGTCTTTGTTACCAAAGATCCTGTCATCGTTGTTGAGATCATTTAGAGATACCATAAGTGGGTCCAGATTCAGCAAGCTGGTTACTATTTCCCTTCGCTGTGAAATAAGAATTAGAACATGAAGTAAAGGAGAGGAGGTTGTTCAGGGGTACAGATGGCAAAAGTGAGTTAGGACTCATAATTTGGACCATCTTATTTAGTTCCCCAGTAGTCAGGGAAGTAACAAAGAACTAGGGAAATTCATCAGGTAAAGAGGATTCTGGGAGGACCTATGAGCAAGAACTGGTATGGGTCAAATACTGCTGTCTTAAAATTGAGAAAAGAACAAAGTAATGGATGGAACGTCCAAGCCTTAAAGAAAAACTGCTGGAAGGTCAAACTACAGACTCAATAAAACACCAAAATCACAGAAGTGGTGAGGAGAAGGTAGATACTACAAAGAGAATTTCATCTTGAAACCAAAGGAGGTACCTGTGGAATATGGGCTAGCAGACACTCCCCCCAATCACTGTACCGGGTGGCCATTTGGAAACCTTGGGCTGGACCTGCGAGTAGAAATGGGAATAAGGATAGAAGAATGCCTCACTGAGTTTATCAGTATGGGCCTGAATTGTGTGTCATTTGCTTCTATGCTATAGTATGGAAAGCTATCTAGTTAAGGGTAATGATGAATGTGGGCCTGCCTATAAATAGCTCTGGAGTAGAATTTTTGTCAAGAATGCCATAGGTACTGGGCTCAAATCCCAGCACTGCAATAAGAATAAAAGATGTTTAAGTGCCACAAATCTTGTGCCCTGTCCATCTTTCAGTTTAAAATTTTCATACTAAGAAATTCCCAGATTTTTGTTTTTCTGTTTATATGTACAATTAGGGGAGGTAGGAGTAGCAAGAGGGAATTTAGAAAAACAATAAAAAAACACAAAAGCATATACTACTGAACTCGTATGGAGAACCTACTCACCTTTTGGGGGTAGGGGACAGGTTCTTATTGCTTATTCCCCTCTGAATTGTGGTTCTCAACTATTTGGAAAAGATTCCTCAGATGATTTTTTTTCCTTTTCCAGACTTTACATATTGATTAATGCCCCCTGCCTTTCCAAATGAGTAGGTTTTTCAATTGCTGTCAGACTAAGTTTCAGATAGATGTCTCCGTGAACTTTTTAGGTCTGCTTGGGTCCACCACAGCCATGGCAGGGAATATCTTAGGGAAAAGTATTGAAGTTACTGCAGCTTTGGATTATCATCTACTATTGTATTCCTGATAGTGATGTGCAGCCAGCAGAGTTCTAAATGTTGCTTGAGAATGAACTCAGGTTTCTAAGACTGACCGCTCATCCTCCATATCCTTCCTGCCCTCCTTCTGGGCTTCACTGTGCACCTCTGTGACTTGTATTTTGTCCGTTGACATTTGCTTTCTTTTGCTTAGGGATAGTGTCCTTTCTTCTACCTGTCCCCCCACTGTCCTTAGTAGTAAATAATGCAGGTAGCTAAGTGACAGGTAGCCTGTGCTCTGCATAGCCCTGAAGCATAATGGGGAAGAGGTAGAAAGTAGCCTGAGAAATTCAAATCCCAGAGTTTGGTTTTCAGAACTGAATCCTGATTTTCTGTGTTTAATATAATTGAAGGAAGCTATTTAGTTTATTCATCTTGCTGTCTTCATGGATAGAGTAGGATAATACTAGAACTTCTCTTATAGTTGGGGATGTCTTGAAGATTAAGTAAAAATACAGTTCACACAAAAGACTTTACAGCCTGTCATAGCCAATGTCTTATCGTTAGAAGTCAGAAGTATTAAGAGTACAATTGAAATGTTCTCATCACAAAAATCTAGTACATGAGCTAATGGCTGGTTATAGAAAATAAACTTTTTTTTCTTTTCAATTGAAAAAACAGTCTTATAATAAGTGGACATGTATTTACATCAGAGAAAAATAGTATGTATGTGTGTATGTTCATGTATGTGTATATGTCTATATGTACATATATGTATATGTGGTGGCACAGTAGAGCTCCTCAGCCATATGGGCTGGCAGGAGGTGAGAAAGCACCTGGGGGAGGAAATGGAAGATTCATTCTGGAACAGAAGACTGCATGATAATCAGTTGATTTGATCTATCTGTGCTCATTGTTAGCCATCCTGGTTGCCATTTTAGGTTAAGGTTTGTTTAATTGTTCAGCCTTTGCTCCATTATCATTTTGGGTTGATTAGGTGCTGTGGGGCTCTTCTAAGTATGTTAGCAGTATCCATTGTCTGTACCAACTAATGAGAAATGTTTACAGACATTAAAGGTGTTCTAGCATTGAGGGTAAGGATGGAGAATTGTCTGGTTAAGAATTGCCATCTAGTGTGAGTTAATATGTGGGAAAACTTTTGTAGAATGTTCTTGTAGTAGTTACCTTTGGCATTCACAACTCTTCTTTATTCACTGCTCAATTGTGTATGAGATCAGCCATTAGTTTTCATTTCTTTTTTTGTTCACAGATCTACTCCCCAGCTCTTCTCCCTTCCCAGAAGAAAAGGAATACGCAATTTCCAGTGCAGAGCCAGCCAGCGTACCAATGGATGTACCTAGCTGTCCTTCCCAAAGCCTGTCTGCTGTTGACTCATACTGGCTCTTCCTTGAATGTGAATGTGCACCTTCTCTGCTGGCTTCACTGTCAGACTTGATCTGTATGGGCACACAGATGGCAGGGTGGGTCAGCTGACTTAGGACAGACCCGAAGGGAACAGCCCTTTTTTCCCCCTGTAAATATTTGGCAGGCTTTTTTTCTTGAGTTAAAGAGAAATTGTTAAGACTACTAAGGACATTACTAGGGCTATTTATGTTCTGTTATCTGTCCAGAAAAACAAAACAAACAAAAATCCCAGGTTTGAATGATGAAGCTTGCTTTGCTCTGCAGCCCACCTTCCTGCTGAGGACCTAACCCTTTGAAAGATATGCTGATTTTTATATTGGGAGATTTTTGACAGTGCCTCCCCAGAATAACATAGACTGTCCTTGAACTTTCGATCTTCCTGTCTCAGCCTCAAGTGTCTACATCACCATCAGTGGCTCATGTTGTTCCATAACTGAATTTTAGTTGTCTTTATATACTTTTAATTCTTTGAGCAATATGGATTTCAGTCTTCATTTACAGATCAGTATTCATGGAGAAATATCTCAATGTGTATATTAAAGGGTGGGATCCCACTTTACCCTTTACCTTCCAAACTGAAACTACAGATGCTAACTTCTTATCTAGAGTGTCTAGAAATAGACAAGCAAATATAAGTCTCTCATTCTCTCATTTTCTTACACATGATAGCTACTTAGCAATCTTTTTTTTGTTTGGTTGGTTTTTTTTTTTGGTCATACTGCATTTCTTGGAGCTTTCCACTTGATCACGGTCCTCAAGCAGGAGCAGAAAAAGTCAGTAGAATTTGATCTGGTTAAAATTTTCATGTTAAAATTTGTAAGACTTTAAAAGGCAAAATAATGGATAAAGTTATGGGAATTAGTCTTTTTTCTCTTTTGGAAGTTTTTCACTAGTAAGATAAATCCTAATAGTGAAATTATCTGATTTAAAACAGCACTTTGTTGTGGAGTTATACCATTCCAGTGTACTGCTTTTTGGTAGCCTTGGGTCTGGACTTCAGTTCCCAGGGTGATATGTGGCACGTATGCAGAAGGATTGGTCTTTCATGGACCACCTGATTGTACTTCATTCTTAAAGCAACTGTATAGATAAGCTAATTTTTATAGGATGGGGAGGGACCAAACATCTACAGGTAACTTACTGAATAGCCCAGATAACCAGAATAAGAACATATTGGCAACCAAACCTGTGCTTCACACTCCCATACCCACCCCCACCCCCCCACTTAACCATGTCACATGTGAGAGAACCCACCAACTAATGTGGGTTGACCTTAGAAGAGTTTGCTGTTTCTCCCATCTGGCCTGCTGGTTTCCCCTTCGCTCAGTCTGCTCCACTCACACTAGGGCTTTTGTTTGTTTGCTTTTTGCTGTTCTTTAAACTAAATAGCCTATGTACCTTTGTTTGGGTTTCTCTTTGTGAGTTACTGGACTCTCATCTTAACTAGTCCCATTTACCATACCATCTATTGCTTATTTATTTGATTATTCCTGAGAATATAAACGTCATGGCCTAGAAGAATGGCTTAGTGGTTAAGTGTTCTGGCTGCTCTTTCAGAGGGCACCCACCTGGTGGCTTATCTGGTATTCTCCATAACTCCAGGGCATCTGAGGGTTCTTCTGGCCTCTGTGGGCACAAGGCATGCATGTAGTGTGCAGGTAGACATGCAGGCAAAACACACACACAAACTAAAACTAGAATGTAAACTTTATAGGTGGGGGTGTGTGTATGTGTCTCCCCATTCTTGCACATTTTAGTTAGTAATTGACCAATCATTGGTGTTGGTTGTATTGTTTTATTTCTACATTAAAAACAGCACATATTACTTTTTTGGTATTCAGTAATATTTGAACAAATACCTATTCTACTTTTATATTAGGTACAATATTAGGGAGTTAGGGGATAAGTATAAATAGCAAACAGGTGTTGTCCCTGTCTATACTGTGGAAATAATAGAAATGGTTGAGCAATTGCTTTATACCACATACCATGCTATTCCTGGAAACACAAAAGGCAAAATCAGTGTCTTTATTTTATAAATGAGAGCTCACTCAGGCTCAGAAAAGTTAAGTAATTTGTTAGAAGTCCAGCTTATAATTCACAGAGCCAGAATGCCAATATAATTGATACTCTCTGTTCTCATCACTAAGACAAATGTTCACATCTCTATCACATTATGTTGTGCACCGTCCTCACTGTGAATCTGTGTGCTAGGATATCCTATTTGTCAAAGGCAGAAAGTCACTACTACTAGCCATCCATTTTCCATTTCTATAGGCTTATGGCTACATTCAGCCTTGGTTATGAGACATTAACAAATATTCCTTTCATCTTTGTAATAATATAGCAAGTTTAGTCATTCAGCATCAATTTGTAATTATTTTTGAATGGTTTTAAAAATTGTCACTTTGCCAGTAATAACATCTCAGAATCCCTAGAGAAGGTAAATACCATTTCCATAGAACATTTCAAGTTCTTGGAAAATATTTTTAACAGATTGCATTTTCTCAAGACTTGAAGGCCACAATAACTGTATATCCTCAAAATATTTGTATTATTTTAGCTTGTTCATAATATTTGTGTACTTTTTTAAAAAAATTATTTTGATGTTCCTTTGTATCTTAGATTAAGGAAGTAGAAATGGATTTTCCAGAAAAGCATTCTAATGTAGGTGTTAAAATTTTTTAAAAGTCTCATTGATTTCAACCCACCCCCCTTTTAATCTTTCTAGACCTTGCTATTTTCATTCAGATATTGCAAGTATGTATTTTGGAAGATTAGTATAATTCCTTTGTCTTAGCACTCATATCTGTGGTTGACTTTGTTTCTTTTAGTCTTTTTTTTTTTTTGAGAAAGTTGTAACTAGTATATTCCTTTCCAGATGCTTTTGAGCACACCTCCAAAACCATAACCCTAATATTCTTAAGACTCCCTCCCTTTCTTCCTCCCTTCCTTTCTTCCTTTCTCTTTCCCTTCTGCCTCCCTTCCTCCTTCCTTTTTTCTCCTTCCTGACCTCCTTTTCTTCTTTCCCTTTCTTTTTTACTCTCCCTTCTTAGTCCCACTTTCCTCTCTTCCTGTTCTCTCTTTTTTCATCTCTTTCTAAAAGCCTTTGGTTTTCTTACATGGATTTATTGGTGTTAAAACACCAGTCATGCCAGCATGGATGAATTCACTGGGTTTCACCTTCTAGTAGCCTGGCTTTCCATACAGAGGCAGTGGCTGACATGGTATGTTTGGGAAGCCAAACATTTCCAGACTTGTTTGAGAGAAATTCAAACTTCAGAAATTTAAAAACCACAACAACAGAGGCGTATTTACTGTGACTTCTGAAATCACACAGTTTGGCACTGAAATTGGGTAGATAAGAATACAAAGAATGCAAAATGGGAAACATTTAATTCTTAGAGAGGACTTCGATTTTTTTGGTTTGGTTTCATTCTTCATTTTAACTGTAGTAAATTAGGGAAATGGGAACACTTAATACATTTAATAGTATGTAGTGGATAGACTAGTTGAAGAATGGGTTGTTACTCTGTAGCCTGTTTTCTTGGTAAGCAGACAGATTACAGACCACAGTGGGCATCCTCCATCCTCCCTTGTCAATGTTTCTCCTGAGGACCTAGCTCCTCAGGACCTAAGGTTGCGCTGATGACTTTGGAAAGCTGAGGTTTGAGGCCACATGTAAGTCTAATTACACCAGGCAGGAAAAGGCATGTGCCTTTTTAAAGCACAGATGACTATTTTATTTTGTATGCCCTTATGCAATCATTTTAAAAATTAAAACTTTGGTTATCATAGCCTTAGTTTCTCCTTGACCAACAATTCAGGGCAATTTGAGTTACATTTCCATTTTCTGCCTTTTCTGAGCCTTAAGAACACCCACATATATAAGTATCAGGTTACAGTCCAAGCTCAGGCTCATGACATAAATGAGAGCTGCATATTAGGCACTTCCTTCAAGATAGCATTATCCAGCAATACTTCTCCAACACACATGACAACAGCTTGATATCCCACTTCTGACTGATTCTTCCTTTGTGCCTTTCCCTGAGCAAAATGTTAGCCATTTTCGTGATGGTTACCTCGGTAAGGAATGGTCTATTTATGGTGAATTAAAGAGAAGTTTCTAAGTGTATTTGTCTGCTGTATGAATACCTATCCCTGAAATTATATTTTACATCCAATTTTGATTATTAAGAGCGGGCAAACTATTTCATGTTTTCATTAGTTAAAAAGCTACTGAAGGGGAAAAAAGTGAAATCAGAGTTTGTAAGCAGTTGAAAACCCAATTTTAGGCAGGAAATGTTGACCAGAATCTTCTCCTGACTTACTGCTGGGCCTTCTCTCACCTGCCTCCCATCTCCCCAGAAGCAGGAAGAAAGCAGTAGCTTCATGACTAAGATCTGGAAAGCCTTGGACAATCCTCAGACTTCAGCTCCACAAAACCAAAGCCTCCAGCAACCTTTAACGTTTTCCCCCCTTCCCTTCCTGTTTAATGTTGTACACAAGTTAGTGTGTCAAGAGGTGTGGTATGGCTCATGAAGCCTTGGTGACTTGTAACTATGTTCAGACCTTACATGGAATTGCATGACATTCAGATTTTTGTTTCTTTCTACAGAAAGTATTTGTTGTAGTTAAAGTTACAGATATAGTTAAAAGCAAAGAAGTAAATCCTCATGTTGTGACATTTAAAATGTCATGCTAAATTGAAAATACACGAGACTGAGAAATTAGCACCCAAAGGAGAGGCAGCTAGACTGTTAGTGTTGCCTGTGCCAGAAGCCTTTAGCCCAGGTGAGACATGATGGCAAAGCTTTCAAGATTAAACAGGTTCCAAGATAGATTTTAAGCCTTTTGTGTTACCCGCTCTTTTGTGTTACCTGCTCTCTTTCATACTTTAATAGCTCAGTAACCTGGGTCTTATGTTTCAGGTGACAGCACCTTTAGGATAGTTGTGGTTTTCTTCATGGGGAGAGATTGCCTTCCAGCAGGAGACTCAGGATTAGTTAATCAGAGAGTTAGGCTGAGGTAAGGTCAGAAACATAGATTTCTCTAGTAAGCCAAGTCCTTTACTTGATTGCTGGTGTCAAAGAACCTGAGCTCATCTGAGTTGCATCCTACCATGCATTTTCTGAGACTTGAGGCATATATCTTAGCCTAGTGGAGCAAATAGTAAGCCCAGCAAAGAAGGAAACACAATTCTCGAAGGACAACAGGCATAACTCAGTATAGACAGCATCTACTGGACCTCTGCTCTGGTTATGTCAGTTTCTTCTTCATCACACATAATCCCTTCACCTTGAACACTGAAATCTGTTAAGTCATCTTCCTGTCCATGCAAGTCCAGGTTGTTGTGAAGGCCAGCTAAAGGGTTAACTAATCAGTGTGTGTGTGTGTGTGTGTGTGTGTGTGTGTGTGTGTGTGTGTGTGTGTGTGTGTGTGTGTGTGTGTGTGTGAGAGAGAGAGAGAGAGAGAGACAGAGACAGAGACAGAGATAGAGAGAGAGATCTGGCTTTAAACTTTTCATTTTGAAATTTTACTTCTATACCTGTCACTTATGTTTGAACTCTATATACACAAGAAGAAACATTTTCTTAGACTATAACCCTTTTGGGACAAGTGGACTAAAGGTCTCAGAATTACCTCTTTTTACTAGATCACAAGAAACAGTTTCATTGTCTTGCTTCTATCACATCTCCCTTCACTGTGAGGTGGAGCACTTGGCAGCAAAGTTAGATGAGGTCCAGATAGGAGAAGCTGGTCAGAAAGCCTTACTGCTACTTTTGATTCTTTGTATGTTCTACCTAGTGTGTCTAATGAGACTCTAAGAAGAATCTTCCAGGGTATA